TCAAGATGATAATAATAGCAAACAGATATCAAAATATATGCTTGTTACTGAAAGTACACCCAATATAGTAACTGAATCCTTATAACAACTCTATGAAATAGTATTACTCCAAAGAATATCCTTGTTTTACAGATGAGGAAACTGAGGACATGTGAGGTTAAAAGATGGGACAAAAATTACCAAGTTAGTAAGCAGAGAGCTGGAATTCTGGTTGAGGGATATTTCCAAGCTCCAAACTCTCATGCTTCCACAGCTAGGTGTTCGGGGGACGAGAGTAAGGGTTTAGCATAGGTGTAGCGGTTGCACAATTGAATACTACTAGTGCACCCAAACCTACGAGTTCCATTAGGTGAGAAACGAGGTGACCCCCTTCTCCCTCCACTCCTTCCCCTCCATTTCCCTTTGGCAAAGCTGATGCCTAAATGAAGGATACAATCGTTTCCAGATGTTGTTTGGCAATAATACATGATTTCTGAACAAACAAGTCAGTAGCTCCTCTTGACACTTACATAGCAAGTAATGCCTAAACAAACAAACAAACCAAAAGTGCTAAGAGTAAATACATGCAACTTCTGTGTCCAAACATAACCTTTCTGTATTGGGGAGCTGGAAATGCGAATGGGTGATAAGCAGGTGAGAGAAGGAAATAGACCGTGGTACTGGTGTGATGAAAGGCCCAAATCAAAAAGGTTGTTTTTCACAGACAGGGTGGGGAGGGGGACATAGGGATTGAATTAGATCAGTGATCACCGAGCGTCAGTTAACCTCTGTGTGCCACTGTTATTGTTGACTTAATATCGTTAACTTGTTTAACCTAAGCATCATTATAAGAAATATATATATGAAATCGCAAATTTGTTAATAATTGATAGTTTTCTAATACATATACACATACATGTAACGATTAATATTTTTTTAAAAAATGTGTTGCTCTGTTACCCAAAATCATCGCAGGTACCATCAGTGGCTGAAGTACCACACTTTGGGACACTGAACTAAAATCAGGACATGCTATTCTTGCCCTGTCCATAAAGAAAAGCCAAACATAAATTTGCAAGAATTTCAAGAATATGAAAAACAAGAATATGCATGCATGTGAGAAGGGAGTAGAAATGCTTGTGGTTGAGAGAAAGCCTACAAGGAAAGATAAAGCATTATATATGTTGTGGAGGGTCACGTCAGAATGGGGTGAAAGGACAGTTAAAAGGTCTTGAGTCACTGGTAGCTATAAAACAACAACAGCAACAACAAAGGGTGTCTCTGTTCCCCAGAGCCAGGGAATGCTAGAGACAAGGGTCACACAGCCAACTACTGAGTACCAAGGAATAACCAGTGACTCTTAGGTCATTAGCCCTATTCAGGCCAGAATCCAGGCTGTTTGTTTGTTTGTTTTTTTCCTTTTCCTGGAGCGGTGTGTCTTTTTCTAAACAAACAAACAAATAAACAAACAAATGCATTCTTTAGCATTTTAGTTGTGAAACAAATATTGCCTTCTCTTCACTTTTTCATTCTGTCTCTGACACTATATTCGTTACTTCGGAAATAGCAGTAAGCCCAGATTTTGACTGAATATAGAGTCATCCTAATTATCAATGGTTGGGAGCACAGTGCAGTGGTGATGGATGAGATAATGTGATATAAAAGTCACAGAATAGGGGAAAATTGGGGGACATCTGTAATAGTGTCAACAACAAAATATCATAGAATATAAGATTTTTGAGAAAATGTGGAAGTCAGAGGCCTCTTCACTTATTTTACTGTGATGCATATAGATTAATTCTGAATAACAACAGTACTAATACAATGCAGGATTTTAAAAAAGGCTTAAAGTAATAGTTTGGACCACATGAAATTGCCAATATTTGCTGGTTTTGACCTACAGATAAGACAATTTCATAGGAGTCCGTCTACATACACACTGTTTGGTTAACAGGTTAACAGAGAGGGGTGTGGGATCAAGGGAGAGAGAGAAACCCATTTTATGTTGTACATGTTTGAATTATTATTATTTTTAACAAGGGACATGAAGGGAATATATTCATGCATTCCTTGGTTTTGGTTTCGTAACAGAAAACAATGGCAACCAGCTTATCACAAATTGACTAAATTAAAAAACTGGCATTTCTAAATGACATTATCTCCAAGGCAAATTTATTTTAATTACTGTGATAGCAAATAGAGTATACAGTTAGCATAGATGGTACCTCTTGTTTCAGCTCCCTTGCATGGCTTTATTCTGGAGGGTTGCTGGGGGCTGCTGGGGTCCTGCTGCAGGGGGCGGTGCTGGTCAAGGGCAGTTGCCGGCTAGAAACCAAGGTGACTACAGTACACATCTTGCTACAGGCATCTCTCTCCTCTTTTTATCTTCCTGAGGAGACTGGATTCAAGAGATGTTCAAGTATGTAGCTACATCCTGACAAAACACTCAAGTCCCTTCTCATGTGCATATTCTTATTTTTTATATTTTCTCGCAAATTCATGTTTTTCCATGGACAGGGCGAAGGCTATTTTTAGTTTGCAATCTTGACAACTATAGAAATAAATTAAGCTTAAAGGTATGCATTTTACTTTTATAAACTTGGTTTTTATAATACCAATATTTAAAAAAAATATTTAAAAATGAATCAGGGGTAAAGGCCTGTGATAGAAATAAGTATCCTCTGCAACTATTTTCGTTATAAACGTTTTTATATTTTGATTTGAGTTTCTACTATGTTAGTCACTCTGGATTACAAATTTATAATATTGTAAAACTAAGCAATAATAAACTCTTGAAGGAAAACATAATAGGCATCATATAATCATCATATAATGAGGCAGATGTCCCTATATGGTATCATTTTTTTTTCTGGACAAATGAATGCAACATATTTATTCCTTCAAGTAAGTGATGCGTAGGCAAACTCCAGGTACAAACTCTTGCAAATTTACATATGATCGAATAGTCTAACAAGATGTTTTCTGACATTTACGTTAACAAGGGATATTTTAAAGGTCTGGGAGTAGGGAGTTGGGACACTGTCAGCAGCTCAAGAGCAAGGATCTCTGAAGGAGCATCAAATTTTCTAGGCTTTCAGATGGGCTAAGCAGAATACATTCTTGTTTAGCCCTGCACTGGAGCAATACCATTATTAATTATGCAAACATCTTTTTTTTGATGGGTAAAAGAATTTGAGAATGACTCAGCAAGAGTTTTCAAAACCAAATATCTCTACCAGCTTATTGAACCTGCTCTCTGCCCTGTGAGCTGAGGGTTCAAAGCTTGGTGATAGCTGCAGAAGGGAGACTGCATGAGCGAGAAAGCCGCGGGTTTGCCAGTCAGGTCTACCTAGTTCTTTCATCCTTTGACTTTTAGTTTAAGTTGGAAATAGTTGATACTTCTTCAAAATTAGCCTCTAATTTTTCTTCAGCAAACATAAAAGCTGGTCAAATCCCCTAATCAAAGACCTGGTTTACTTGTCAAAGGTGTGTAGTGTGTGCGGTTACCTTCATATCTTCCCGGAGATGAGACTGTATGTTGATGATAACTTGGGAAAAGGGGGAAATTTAAATGTTAAATAAACATGTAAAGGCAACAGAAGATTTACAAGTCCCTACTGAAGTGACAGTTCAAGGTTTAGTTGGAAAGGGGAAGACTCCCGTCACCCTTGGAAATTTGGGGGAGACGTCCTCTCACCTATTTGGGAAACGACTTGCAGATGTGGGCAATGCTCACACCAGGGGTTTGCAGAGATTTCCTCTGATTTTTTTTTTTTCCCCTTCCCAATTTCCCACAGCCTGTGTTTGCCTTGTGTCTGCGAGGCTGACATGCGGTTTACCTCGCTGATCCTGCTGCCAGGTTTTACACACTCTCCTCCGAAGTAAAACAACTGAAGCCCAAGGATACTGAGCAACTCCGGGCATGGGCGCCAGAACTGTCATAGAAAATTTGCTTCCCGAGAATTCCCTCCAACTTCCCTTCCTGCGCCCACGTGAGCCTTAGCGCCAGCCCATCAGAAAGGTCTTAACGTTTCCTGCTGCTGCAATCTGTAACTCGACTTTGGGTTTTTGGTTTTTTGTTGTTTTTTTTTAATTGCAGTTTTGAGGATCTTAGTCCTTCGCAAAAGTTTTTTGTTAGGGGAATTTTCAAGGCCTTATAAACTATTTCTTTACCTAAGTCTCAGAGGCTCCGACACTTTTTTCTCCGTTCCTGGGTTGTACTTTGGTTAACCGGCAGCGAAGGAAAGAAACACACTGGCTGTTTATTAGGGGGGGGAGGGGAAGTAGACATTGCAGCTGAGTTATCGTGATCCCTCGAGCCACCCCCGGTCTGACACTCAAGACTGACACATACATCATCTATTAATTGCTCTTCGAGAACGCAGATGCGTAATATATTCATTTTTATCTTCAGTAAAATAGAAATGGAATTGTCAGCGCGCTCGTGCCTGTTTGTTTGTATAAGGCTATCAAAAGAAGTCAGAGAGGAGGCTGTGGCCCGGATCCTGACCCTGATTGTATGAATAAGTAAGCAGGATGCAAGTGATTGGGTTAGATGCAGCGAAGATTTTTTTTTTTTTTTCAAGTTAGGAAGAGGGTAAAAAGACTGTCTGGGTGGGGTGGTGGGGGGAGGCAAACGTTGCATCCCCCTGTCCTCACACTTTTGCTCTCCTTGCACTCAGTTGCTTTGCTGGCTTCTGCAGGCTTTTAAGGTCTCGAGGCGTAGACATGCCTGTCCCCCACCCCCTTCCTCGGTCTCCCCTTTCAGTTCAGATGTGCTGATGTGCAGACCGGATTCATCTTCCCGGAGCGGCGGCGGCGGGCGCAGGCGGCGGCGGCTCGCGCTCGGCCGCCGGGTCCTGGCAGCGGCGTGGGCGCGGCACGGGAGCCCGAGCTCCGGTGGCAGCTGAGCCCGTGGGGCGCCGCTCGCCCGGCGGCGGCCGTGGGGAGTTCGGCCGCCAGAAGGACGATCTGGCAGGGTGCGAGCGACCGCTCCGTTAGAGGCGAGTTTGCCCGCAGCTGCCCCTCCCCGCCTCCGGAGCCGAGCTCCTTACCTGCCCTCCACCCACCCGCGGGCCCCTCTCCAACTTCTCTCTGCAACTGGGGGTAACAGGCAGTCCTTGCCCCCTGTACTGTCCCAACGGCACCCGCATGTCTCCGGACACCTGAACACCCCGGTCCCGCCGAGCAGCCTCCCTGCGGGGAGAAGAGCACCGGTCCCCCTCGCCCCGCACATCACCGAGGACCTCACCTCGCGGTCCGGCCCCCTCCTTTTCCTCCAGGGCAGGAGGATGGGGTTGGAAACGCTTTCCCCGAGGATGCTCGCGTGGCTGGTGGCCTTGGGGATTATTGTCTACGGGGAACTGCGGGTCTGCGCTGGCTTCGATTATGATTACACTTTTGAGGGAAACGAAGAGGATAAAGCGGAGATGATAGATTACAAGGACCCGTGTAAAGCCGGTAAGTGCCACTCCAGGCTGGGACGGCGGCGCGCCGGGGGCCGCGGCGCTCGGCTGTGGACGGGCGGCGGTGGGAGCTCACCTGTTTCCTTCCCTCCCTGGCCGGCCCCTCCGCCGCCCCTCCTTCCCTTCCCCTCTTTCCTTCCCTCCCCACCCCCAAGCGGCAGCCGCCGCGGCCCGGCCCGAGTAGACTGGAGTTCTGTGCTAGTGGCATCCAATGCCAAGCTCCCGTCTCCCAGTTTTGGAAAAAAACGTCCTACATAGAGTTCTGATTCCCCTCCCCTCCCCCAGCGAAACGAAACGAGCCATAAACACAGCTGGCAGCCGTAGGTTTTAAATACCAACACTCAACCGGCTTTGTGCCTGGAGGGGACAACACCTCCTCTTTGTTCCCTAAAAGGTGGGTGGGGATGGAATTGCTACCTCGGGACTTATTTGCTCCTTCTTTTGCCCGGGATTTCAAGTATGGGGTCCAAGCGAGAAAGGGGTTGTGACGGCCTTGGAAGCTCTCACGCTAGATGGAATTTAAATGCATGTGCCCATTTAAAATCTTTAAAAAAAACCCCCAAACCAAGTTGCCACCCCATTCAAACTTATGCCTTCCTTCCTGCGTACACCCCCGGGAACTGCAGTGGAGCGGCACTGCCCGAGGCTCAGCCTCTCCTCGCCGCCCCCGAGCTCCCGGGGACCTTCCCCTCCCCTCCGCGCGTCCCGTGCCTCTGCGGGTCCGGTCTCTCCCGCGGGGCGGGGCGGCGCTTCCCTCCCGCAGCCGCAGGTCTGGCTGCACGTGCCGCGGCCGGAGACCACGTGAGCGCCGCGCCCCGGGACGCCCGCCCCCGCAGCGGCTTCCGCGGGGCTCCCGGGGCTCCCGGACCCTTCACTCTGCTCGAGTGCAGTTGAGGTGACCCGGATTTAGTGTGGACTCGCGGCTGACTTCTGAAGGAAGGTTACAGCGGTTGTTGGGACGGACTTTACAGTCTATTTACAGTAGAGTTTTTTCCTAAGCTGAAGGCTCGTTCTGTCCCATCTCAAGAGGTGTGAGCTTTGAAGGGGGAGTGGGCGCAGGACCAGAAGTTTGCATCCCTGCATCTGCGGATTGTGCGCGGGGTTCATCAGCCTGTGACTGCGAGGTCTTTTACTTCCATAGCTAGGTAAACCTTATTCAGCCTCTCTTGGGCCTGAAGGAAGGAGAGATGTACACAAATGAAGGAAAATGCTGGAAAGTCCCTTGTTCATTTCTACCTTTGATGACACATTGTTTTGACAAGGAGGGTGTGTGTGTTGTGTCCGTGTTATCAGATCCTTCTCTTACTGCAGATACTTAAAACTCAGAGTAGTTTAGAAGGAACTTGTCAGTCTGGGACAAAAAAATTCTGGTTTAATTCAGTTTTGGCTTATACATTTTCTCCTTTGACCTTTAACACTCAGTCTGTCCCACCGAGACTTTTCTGGGCCTTCCCTGGCGGTTTGGAGGGCAGGACAGAGTTCTGCCAGGGGTAACTAGGGGCTGGGCAAACAGAATTCAGTACAACTCCTTTAACATACTTTTTATTGAGAAATTTGTTTTGAATAGTATCTGCAACTGGATGCAAATTGTGTGCTTTACTGTTTTAGGTGAGGTGGAAAGGAAGTATTTTGTGTCTAAGGATTGTCTAAGAAACTATTTTTCTCTGTTGTGTGAAAGATTCAACCAGCTATCAACCTGAGAAACACAGGACATGTATACCTTGGTCCAATTTCAGGAAAATAAATGCAACTTTCTATACAAATTAAAGTAAAAGTGTCTGCCTTTTAAACATCATTAATTTGAAATATGAATACATTATAAGAAGTGTCACAAATTAGCTAATACATTTCCAGCAGCTGGGTTGTTTCAGGCTTAAGTTAGAAATTGTCCAAAAGAAGATTTTTTGAGCTTAAGTGTTTTCTTCTCTATTTATGAAGGCTCTCAATTTTAAAACTTCAGCAGTTGCGCCATACGGATTGAAACACCTCAAGCAGGAATGTTTATTTTCCTCAGCAAATAAGCATCTAGGGCAAGGAAAAAGAACCTTTAGTAGCATTTACTTTTGTTTTTCTTTTCATACAGGTTGGAACATAATTGTTGAAGTTAAAACAACAAAAACAACTTGGAAAGGATTATTACTCTAATCTTATTTCTTCCCTATCTTTGAGTACAAGAGGCATACTTGTGTGGGTATGTGTGAGTATGTAGTGAAAGTGAAATAAGAATGGCCCATTTGGAAGGCTGAGAAGTTTGCCCAAAATCTGAGATCACTTTTTAAATTATCAACTGTGCTTTTTAATTTAGTGAAATGAATGGCTTTAATTTACCATCTTGGCTAAAGAATGGAAAAATCTTAGTGCCTCTCTTTTGGCACCATATAAAAACAAAGGCTGTAATAACAGGAAAATAAATAGTACATTGAAATCTCAAACAAGAGTCGAAAAAGGGTCACTCAAATAAGAAAGATGGGGACAGGTATGTGAAGGATGGCCATCCAAAAGCAAGAGTGAGGGTGCTCTCCAGACTCCGGGGCGCCTTGGATCTGCCCTTTCCAAAATGCAGAGTGGAGGGCATAGCCCTGCAATGAGGTGTTCTTTTGAACTTTTCTAACAGGCGTCCTAATATTCCTCAGACCACACAGCACCTTGATGTCAGGTAGCTTTATGGTTTCAGAGCACTTTTGAGTACATTATTTCAGCTCAACACAACACAGTGGAATTTGTTGACTGTCCCATTGCGCAGATTGGAAAACAGATGTTCGGTGAGGCTAAATGTGTTTGTTAAGATTACCCATAACTTGGTTACAAGTCTCCTGGCTGCAAAGCCTGGCTGGTATTAAATGATGACTGCAGTCTTAGCCTTTCAGAGGGCCTCTTTGAAATATAACACAAATAATAGAAATTCATCCAGGTTTACGTGGAGTCTAGACTAAGAGAAATGCAGTTACTTTTATGTCTGATGTGAGTGGAATGGCTAAAAAAATAGTTTAATCTTTTCCAAACCCAATTAGAATATAAAGTCCTTGAGGAAAAAGGTCATACCTGATTTTTAATATTTATCACAGGGATGGATTCCTACTGTTACGTATTTAGTATGTTCTCAGTACCTTCTCAGTATCTATAGATTATTAATATTGATCTTCACCCCTTACTTACAAACTTCTGTTTTAACCAAGATTAAATGTGACCCAAGGAGGAATATTCATAATGATAACTTGCTAAACATTGTGCCATACTTAATATATTTGTGAAACAAGATAATTTGTATACCTATCAGAACTCTGATTTCAAGTTCACGAAACTAGAGGTCCAAAAGGAAGCCTTGTATTAATTTAATTGCATATTGATTTAGAAAGACCTTTTTGGTATCAGTGAAAGCAGGCACTTAGTGCAGCACAGCTTCAGATATATTTATATACCCAAATCCATTAGGACAGAATATAGGTAACTAATCTCTGTATAAATAGACACAAAGGTGCAGATAATTCAAGGGAATGTCTGACTTTCTTCAGTGCAGTACGTGGTCACCTGAATTTGCAATCAGATTTCCCTTTCTCTAGTTCAGAAGGGTCCTGAGGGACATTGGGAAGCTGACACTGCAGGAAGTCATTCCAGAACAGACACTAAGGTGTCCTGTTTCACGGTTGAACTCTTCCAATAGGTGCTAATCTGAGTATTATATATGTGAAGAGCCTGGGCAAATTCAATGTTTAAATTAATCTCTCCGATTTGTCTGGAGATTACCTGGAAGAGCAGAGACCTGATAAACCAAGTCAGGATTCACTACTACCCTCCCTCCCTTCCTCCTTACATCTTTTGCCTCTTCTCCATCCCCCCCCCCCACCCTCGCTTTCTCCTTTCTTTTCTCTTTATGTCCATCAGGGGATATCAGGAAAGCTCAGACAGTTGAAAATATAATAGCCAGTAAAGGAGATTGAAGAAATTACTATTTTGAATGATGGGTAGAAACTGATACGGAAAATATTTGTCCGGAAAGGTAACCTTTTCTTCTTAGGCAAGTGTTAGCACTCTGAGACTTTTTACCTTGAATCTTCTGAGTAATTGACTCTTTTTCTTGGAAAAAATCCAAGCATGATTAAAGGTCAGTGACTTGCAAGGTTAAATTTGCCTTACAGTAGCATATACAAGCCTGTTTATATAGAAATAGGCTTTTGGCATTCTAAAGGGTTCTTCTTTCTGCTTTGCTTTATAACCAGTGCCCTAGTTTCCTAGTATACTAATTCTTGGGATAATTTTCATAAGTTTATAATTTCTTAGTAAGATTTTACCATTCTTTCAGTCCTCAACGTTGTACTTTCTAGCTTCACGGGCAGCCCCTCAGATGCAGCACTTTAGATTTGATGTGCAACGCCATGTCTACTTTATTTCACCATAATATTAAATACCTAAACATATTTCTTGGTTGGCACCACTCTAGGTTGCCAAACTCTCATGTTAAAAATGCATTTCACAGAGCTGCTTTTGTTAACCGGTCACTTCTGTTTTAGTTTTCATTTCTCAGATCTTGAATTTTTTTTTCTCCTCCTGCTTTGTGGCCAGTTCAGAAGCGGGCAAAACACAGTTTTTGCAAGAGGCATGGCTAAGGCATTATGTTACGTATACTTGAGTTCTGCTCTTTATTTGCCAGTAGCGATTCTTTAGCCTTTGTCATGGGGACCCACATCCATTTTCGGTCTACCAATCGTGGTTACTGTTGTTAGGTAAGAGTAAGATTATTTTTTCTTAAATACAGTCCCTTGGACTAATAATTCCATGAATTATTACATGAACTACCTCAGAGAAGGGATTCCAGAGAAGGGATTTCTCCCTTCTCTGTTTAGGCTTCCTTAGCCCACGGTTAAAAGTTAGAAGTGTGTAAGAGGCTAATGAAGACCTTTTGAGAAAGTTAATATATAATTTCACAGCTTTTCCTCCGGCCCTCGTGATGGCTCACTTTTCTATGAAAGTCTAATATATGCCATTACAGAATTTCTT